TTTAGTATTTGATTGGAATTGTTATATAACTATGTAAGTTTTTGTTGTTATAATATAGTTTTGTTATTGTTATGTGAGTCTGATCTGCCTATATTTCTATTTGTATGTGTACCTTTCTTTAAATAGTTGTTAAGTAAGTTGTAGAAGTTACAGTAAATAAGTTATTGATAATATCTTGTGTATTACTAGTTATGCTTTGATTGTTTCTTATTAATATTGATTAGTTATATTGTTTGTATTTCTAAAAATCAAATTATAAATGATGTTCATTAAATTGTTCATTGTTTAGTTTGTGTTTTAAATAGTTATATGAATTTGTTTCTGTTATACTTGCAGTTCTTAAATTTTGTTACTGTTTATGAATTGATTTTCTTGATTGGTTTTTGCAGGGATATACTCTTCTTGGATATCTGAAATAGATTTTGTTTCTTCTATAGCTCCCACTTCATTCTCTTTATAGTATTTTAAGATAGTAATTCTCTTATCTATTTTAACTATTGTATTTATTGTTTGACTTTTGTCATGTCTTGTTGTAATTGTTTGAGAATATTAACTATTTCTTACAGGTTGGCTAGTACCATTTCATTGTTTTATGTGTTCTGTAATGTTTTTGCTGCTGCAGCATAGGAATTGGATTTTGTTCTTCTATATTGTTGTTATATTGATATTTGTCTTTTGATATTGCTTATTTTTGCTGATCTGAATTTTTCATATAGTCTTTCAAATTTTGTTGCTTGTTTCTAATTATATGCTTGCCAATAATTTCTTCTTTTCTTAATGGAACATATGGTTACAAGGTATATTTTATTGTTATATATTATCATAATTTGATGTCTATTTGTATCTATTTTAGGAATATTTTTCCAATTGTATATTGTTAGTGAAGAAGTAGTATTGGATATGATTGCATAATATGCTTTGATATGTCTCATGCCTCAATTTTCAGTAATTAGTAGATATTAGTCTATAGTAATACTTTATAATTTTAGAGTTTATATTGATTATAGTTTCAAATAGTTTATTAACTAGCAAAAGAAAATAACAGTAGATAGTCTATTTTAGCTTAGTAAGATAATATAACATAATATTAGCAATGAGATATAACATACTAATATAAAAAGAATAGAAGAGATAAAAATTATATAGCATATAGAATACAACTATAATTTATAGTATATAATGATAATAAGATTCAGATATACAACAATAGCCTTAATTAAATACTTTCTAATTAAGACACACGATCACCAATGCAAAAAAGAGTAAAACTAATTAGCTTACCTAATTCAGTATTTGTTACAAGCAAGAATGATAGGGAATTACAAAGAAAAATAATAAAGATTTTATTAAAGGAGTGACAACAGAAAAAAAAGGAAGAATAATGAAGACTCAGTTAAACAAAAATTATATGTTTCAAATAGAAAAGCCAAAAACTTATTTGGTATTATATAAGAAAAGCTTCAAAAAAGTGACAGACTTGCTGAATGAAATATTAACAATATGTTTCACATGTTACTTTTTGTAAGTCTTTTTCTGTTTTAAAGTTAATGATTGCAAATCTTTTCTTTTAATATGTTTCTCTATATGAAATATAGTATTATTTGTCTTGATTAATTATAGTATAGTATATAAATCAAATGTTGTTATGTTTAAGATAGGTCTGTAAGCTTTGCTGCTATTTATCCTCTTTGTTTCATTTGTGTTATATTCCATTATATCCAAATCATATTTGTTTTAAATAAAATATTCTATATATATATTATCTGATTCTTACTAATCTTGTTAATATAAGTAATTGTTGCTATTTGCCACATCTGTTATATACTTATGATTATTCCTATGATTTGTTTATATTTACAAAAGTTTGCTATACTTCTATATATATGATATCAAGAAATATGTTCTATACTCTAATACTATTTTTCTTTTTGATACTTGGATTAATCATTGGCATGTGTTGCAAGTACTTGTTTTCCAAATTTAAACGTTTAATAATATATATATGTTCTGCTATTTGGCATTTATTATAAATAGCTATAATCTGTTCTTGGTCATTTTTTTCTTCACTGCAGATAGCAAGAAGTCCTTCTGGATATTTGAGTGTCTTAATAAGGTAATGAATTTTTGGCTTGTATTTTTTTCAGGAATTATATTAATATTTATGTCAACTTTGCTTCTTTGTTTACCATATCTATTATTTCTGTTAAAGAAAAAATGTAGTTTAGATTTGCTCTATTGATATGCTGATTGTTTGCTATTTTTTTTGCCTTTGTTATATATTGTATATTTTTCTTTTCTATCAATATTTTTTAGTTGTTTTTATTTTTCTATCTCTATATTCAAGTAATCGATTCTGATATATTTGCCGATTACTTATTGTATATATTCTATTTGTATAAATGTTTTTACCATTACTTTTTCTTTCTCATTGCTTTAAATTTTTTGGTTTTGGATTCTTGAATTGTATCTTAAATTTCTGAGTTGTTGGAATTAAAACAATTGTCTTCAAAATTATTGTTTTGATTATAATATTGTTAATTATTTCTGTTTTTCATTTTTCTATTATTGTTTCTTGCTGATTTTTGTATTATACAGTATATGGGATGTTTTTTTGCTTTTTCAACTGGTCTTGCCTTTGATAAGATTGTTGATATTGTAATTAGATCTGAAGCAAGTAACTAAATCTTTGAATGTTTTTTACAAACTTATTTTTCTTTTTCTTTTGACAAATTATTAAATATAATAATTTTATATTGTAACGGGCTAGCGGCGAGCCTGTCTCCAGCTGGGAACAGAATTCATGCAGCTGTCACTTTATTTTTTGATTAAAAAGAAAACACTCAGAGACGGATTTGATTATGGTCGAGAATTTGGTTTTTTATTAATTAATTGTCGAAATGTTGTTATTTTTCTTTTTCTACTACATGGTTCTTTTATATATGAGATCTAGTAATTGCATAAGATTCGACAATGAAAATAAAAATAAACAAAAGAAAAAAAGTAAAAATATTAAATTGCGACGAAGCTATTACATAACACAATCATTGTTTGTATCATCATCTTACATAATTCATTAATTTTACCAAGCAGAGACATGGCACGTGACTTCGCCTGGTCTTTCTCTGCTTATATTATACTTCCCACCAAAGCCTCTCATATCTTCATGTGTGCCAGCTATTGTTTCGTCGTGGCTTGTTGTAATTATGGTATGTGACATATCTTGGCATCTACTGTTGGTGACATACGTGTCGCCACTTTCCCATGTTACAATATATATGGAAAAAGTATCTGCTATTTCATTTTAATTATAATATAATTTTATTATTTTAATATATTGAAAAAACTTTTTTATATTTTCAAATATATATATATTTATATTTATTTTAATTATTTATTATTTATTAAATTAATAATAAAAATATATTTTTGATTTTTTTCAATTATTTTTATTTTATAATATATATTTTATAAAATATTTAAATTAAATATTAAATTGCAAAAAATCTATTTAAATAATTTTTTTGATTTTTTTATTTAAATAAAATTTTTTTTATAATAATAAATACTGTTAATATATATTGTAAAATATATATTTTAGTACAAATTTTCATATAGTATAAAATAGATTTTATTATAATATGTTATCACTAATATATCAGCCAATACATAAGCTAATTGCATAATACATCACAGTTAGAGTAGATATATTTGTACCACTATAAATAGTAGTGAATCATCAACAATAAAGAAAATTAGAATAGTAATAAAGAGTAACTAAAAAAAGACAATATATAATAGAAAATAAAAAGATATAATAATAATAAAGAGATAATAGAATATATTAATAAATCTATTTTAAAGAAATGTCAATTTATCAAAATAATAATTGGTAAGACCACATAAGATTTGTGATCAATTATTGAAAACAAAAATTCAGCAAATAAGATAATCTAAAAATAAGAAAAATATAATTCTCCAGCTTATTAATAACATTACACAAACATTGTTCTGGCTTAACAAAAACTTGCTATTTATCACAATAATACTTAAATTTTATATTTTTCTTTAATTTTGAAACTATTTTTTTATTGCAAATAAGTATAAAATATAAGACTTTATTAATAAAATAATAATCTTATTATTATATTAAGTATTTATTTAAGTTAAAATTAACCTATTATATACAGTGCACTCTTGTTATAATGGATCTCGTTTAACTGGATCCTTCAATATAATGGAGTGTTTTACTGGAATAAAAATTTAATTATTTGTTTTTCCTCACTATTATGAATTTTTATATAATAATTCTTTATAACAGTTATGGACTAAATTATATTATTGAGCATATATAAAAATTTCATTATAATGGATTTGTGATCTCATGAACCAATAATATTAATAATCTTTAATAATCTATATACAAACTTATTATCGTATAATTTATTTTCCTAATAACATATAGTGAAGTATAATATTATAACAGTGGGAAATGGCAAGTCGGTCACTCGTACACAGGTCTGGTCGCGACATATCACACAACAGCTAAGTAGGCTTACTTTGTACTGTTTAGCTTGTCAGTTTGTGTCGGCACTAACGTTTTTCTTTCTTTTGGTTTTATAAACGAAAGAGGTAATTGGATTTGGTCGATCTTCGTTCGTCAGTTACAGGATCACGACAAAATAAAACTATAACACCAAGTTATAGAATACATAGGGTTTATTACACAGATAAAGTTTCACGATAGTTAAAATGAGCACACTTGCTGACTTTATTAGAACAAAGACTAAGTATATTTATACATGTTTCATTATCCCAATTATTCTCTTTATTTCAATTATTCCAATTATCCTCTTTATCCTACCTGTTTATATTACAATACCTGATATAACATCATACGATGAATTATCGCTTATTCTCCTATAACAGTTTATCCCCTCCTAAAAATGCACATGTCACATGCATTATCAAATTAGACGTCGAATTTTCCAATAATTTGTTCCTCACGATAATGTTTGGCAAGGCATACTGGTTATCGGTAGGTCATTGGGTGAATAGTCTTTTTCTCTTGACGTTCCAGGTCGTCGGGTCAGATATCTTGGTCGGATCTTGATAAAACGCAGGTAAGACAAGGTTTTTGTTATCACTTGTTTTCTCCGTGAAATTTTGTTTCTTCCTCTCTTCTTTTTGTCCCATTGGATAATCTGTCTGGTTAACTTGCGATGGGTCATACTATAGTCAGTGATAGACTGCTGATAACATCCAGTTCTTGACTTTCTTAGTTGTATGGATATTCGTTTTTTCTTTCTTCGTCCGATCTCCTTTCGATGTGAGTTGATCATCATTGGATCTCGTGATCGTCACGTTACCTCTGGTAGGACTTCTTTCTTCTGTATCCTCCATAACTACCACTTGTGATGAGAACTCACACATCTTTTCTTTATCGCAGGTTGGATGTTCCTAAGATCAGGTTTATTTTTAGCGATTTTCTTTCTCCTACACACCGTCATCATAATCCTGTACCTTTCTTCAAAATATTCTGAGTGGAACTTCCATATATGGGGTTCACTCAGCTTGAGGCAGTAAGTGTTGCATTGCTTATGTCCTCCAGAATTTAACCTCCGTTGGTATATTACTATGTATTCTGTTAAGCTTTTTCTTCATCCAACAGCTTTACGATATGACATAGTGGTACAGCTCCATTGTTTCGCCACAGGCGCATTTATCCATGTATTCATGTGCGTGCTCTTAATCAGGTGCATTATGATGATTTCATCGTCTTCCTTCCTTTGCCACTATTTCCAGATTTGCCCATTCCATAGTACTCCTATTTCTCAGTGTACTGATGGAGTTCTACTGGGGTCAGGTTCGGGGTTTATTGGTTTCACTTGTTCGGTGGTGTCATTTCCTTCTTCTTGATCACGATAGTCCGTGGTAATTTCCGTGATATGTCTTCCATCACAGTCATTATCACTTTTGGCATCATCAATGGGGCTATCACGGCTGCTAAGATGATCTGATTCAACCTCATGGGTTTCTCGCTTAGCAAGTATGATATCATCATTGCGACAACCCAATCTTGCTTTGTGTGGATCAGATTCCTTCCTACTAGGTTTTTCGCATTTCTCGGTTATAATGGCACCGACCGGCACCATCACTATTTTGTCCTTATTATCTCAAGGGTCAAACCTTACTTCTTTCTTTGTCTCCGCAGGGTTATCGTCTTCTGTTCCCTTCTTTTCGTAACACACCACCCTTTGATCTGAGGTTACTGACTTTTCGTCACCTCTCGATTCGCTTCCAGCTCCCACAATCTTGGCATTTCTCTTGTTGCCTTCAGGTGCTTCCACTTGCTCCCTCTTACTTGGCATCTCTCTTGTTGCCTTCGGGTGCTTTCACTTGCTCCCTCTCACTTGGCACTCTGGCGTCTTCATCGCTAGTTGTTTGAATCTCTGCACAGGTACATTTTGGTTCCTCCTTGATTGGTTTCATAGCTATGTTGTTCTCCCGGGTCTTGCCTTGATAATCATTCCTCACCTCTAGGATTTTGTTTTGGATTTTGTTTGCGGCATGCGAGACTTCCGATAAACGTCCTGGTTTCGCCTCTGCTATGCCATTTCTACTGCCATTGATGATGTCAGTCATAGTTCATTCGAATAACTGGGTAATGTTGTTCAAGAGTTCTGAAGTTAGTCGGCATCCATGTTGAGCAAACTATTTCAGGGTCGGGTAAAAGTATTGTTGCTTGGTTGTATGTTATAAATCCAGTTCAGAATTTTCGAAAGTTGAGTAAGTACCAACTTCTACTATACAGTTCATTTGCATTTAAATGCAAAATGGACTTTCCTATTATTATCAATGCACTGTGATACATATTTTAATATTTGACTCGACTAAGCCCATACCAAAAATAATAATATCATACTTGGTTACTTTCAATAGTTGTGACATTATATTAGCAGTGTTCTTAAAAAGAATAGAACAAGTGATAAATGTTTTTTAAAAATGACACAAAATATGAAAAGCTTATATAAAATAAAAAGGTGAAATTTAATTAGTGGATCTATGTTTAATATACTATATCTTACGGCTAAGTAATATGACAATCTACACTGCACAAAAAAATATCGAATTTAACTGGTCCTGTAAATAAGAATATCGTTAGCATTTTTGAAATATCGGCTGCTAGAATTAATAAGGTATTTACTCTTGATACAAAACGCAAGCGTACAGCAATATCAGGTTTTACAAAATATAAGATTTGCCAAAAGCTTTCTGTACCTAGCCCTCCTAAACAAAAAGATTTGGCACTTATATATAATATACAGTGCCCCCCAATAAATGAAGGACCACTTAAGAATTATTAAAATTAATCGGAAATAGTCTCTATATATC